TTGGTTCACTTCTCTAAGGGATCAGGGACACGAAAACACTGAATTTATCATAAAAGAAGCCTAGTAAGTACTTAAGATTGTTAAAAATGATAAAGAATATGAACAGAGACGGAGAATTGTATAAAAAGTTCCCCTAAACATGAAGTAATCTGCTCAAAATTCATCCAAAATCACTTGTTTTACGTAAACTTCTTGAGTTCATTGTGCAGTTTTGCATATGAAATATCCATAGAATATGTCACTAAGTCAGAAGTTGTCAGTTCACTAAATGATAGAAAAGGGGTCCCTTGGGGGAAATGTTGGGAGCTAATGGTGTAGGAGGAACTACAGTAGCCACAGAAGTAAAAAAGTAAGAAAAAAAACGCCAAACATTCAACATCTCGCTCCCTCTGTAGATTAAAACTCATTCTAAGGCAACAAAAACACAACAATTGTTATTTTGAGGTGATTACACACCCTTTAAGTCGACATATGTCAACACAAGACTTCGTTTTTAAACTACAGCTTGTACTACAGAGGCCTTAAGGGTTGTATCTGCAGTGTTGTGGACAGCCGAGCACAGAGAGAGAGGACTTTCACACTGTTTGAGAGACAGAGTTGATATATCACCCTCCTACATTCCAGCACAGGCTCGTATTATTATAGTCTGTGCATGCAGCCCATGTGTGTGTGTGTGTGTGTGTGTGTGTGTTGTGTGTGTGGTCGGGTTGACTTCTCGTCCGCAGAAGAAGACAGGGGCGAGGATAGGAGGCGTGACGTCGCTGCCCGCCAGAGAGCCCGTACGGCAGCCAGGAGGGAGAGAGCAGGGACGCGCCGTGCGGGGACGGACGGACGCTTGCGTGCTGCAAGCCGCAAGAGCTTCCACTGCTGCGAGACAACAAGGAGCGAGCCGTTCTGGGAAGGAGGGGAGGAGAGAGAGAAGGAGGAGGAGAGAGAGCCTGATACAACCCGGCAAACCCACGCCGGAAAAACACTGCACGTACTACCTAGACAGCCATAATGCCGCACCGGCCCGCCGACTCCCCAGACTGAAATGGACTGTGCAACAGCCCAGACCGGGAGAAGCGGCCGGACACCCCACCAACCAGCCCTCTTGCCCTCCCCGGTTGCCTCGCCTCCGTCACGGTGTGCGGCGGCAAAGGTCGGTCGGTCGGTCGGTCTGTCTGTCTTGGAGGTAAGGGTGGTGGGAGGGGGGGGACATGTCCTCTCTAACCGTAGAGGAGGACCAGAAATGGGTACCGACACACGTCCAGGTGACGGTGCTGAGAGGCAGGGGCTTACGGGGCAAGGGCAAGCACGGCACCAGCGACGTGTACACCATCATCCAGCTGGGGAAGGAGAAATACTCGACCTGCGTGGTGGAGAAGACCACGGAGCCCGAGTGGAGGGAGGAGTGCTCCTTCGAGCTGCAGCCCGGCGTGCTGGAGGGTGGCGGGCGGAGCGGCTACCCGGCCGGGAGCAACGAGCTGGTCCTCACCGTGATGCACCGGGCGCTCATCGGGCTGGACGTGTTCCTCGGACAGGCGGTGATCCACCTGGAGAAGCTCTACCATGAGAGCAGATGCGTGAAAAACGAGTAAGTTAAGCTGTGTGTGTGTGTGTGTGTGTGTGTGTCAGCATGCAGATGAAGGTAGGTGGTGGTGGGTGGGGGGGAATACCACACATACACATGCTTCATCTGGTAAATCTGTTTTCCCCCATGTTCATTGAACTCATCAGGGGTGTGTTTTTCCCCTTTTCTTTCCCCAAGTTCTTTTTCTTTTGTCCTGTTTTTTAGTTGCTGCACAGTTTGTGCTCAGATATAAACACAGCTGTCTTCTGGTGCTGCATCAGGGCCCTGCAGACACACCCTCCCTCCTCCCACATATATACTAAAACTAAACTCTGACCACTAAACACCTCACTGAAGGCTGACAGCATCACCCCCCCTCAAAAAAAAACCCACCAGACCTTCTAGAAACCTCCCTGACAGGCCCACCTTTTTAGGTTTGTTTTGTTGTGGGGTTCCTCACAATGTTTCCCACTAGCTGAGGCATGACGTAGTAAAGCGAGTTGGGGGATTAATGCCTGTCCCAATTCCAGGGATTATCTACAGATTCATGATCCGAACGCTCAGAGGTATTTTTAGCATAACATGTTGTTTTACAAAAGCTCGCCCACTGGAGCACAAACGTGGATGTAAAGGAGGCAGACAAAGTTTGTTTCGTACTTAAAACAGTAAACATTTTGCCAAATCTCAAAGGAAATCCTCATTTAATTCTATTATTTATGATCAATATGTGATTTTGGTGGTTATTTAAGTGCGAAGGACGGCGATAGTTTGATGCACCAACTTTCCCTTTTAAACTATAATGTTATATAGTTGTATCCAGATGTCCTACACTCCCCATAACGCCTTCCAACACCTCCAAGACTGAACTTGTTGCACTCAGCTGTAGGTTTGATAGCATTAGCATAGAAATGAGCATGAAAAAAAAGGGGATATTTGCACTGTAACATCAAGCATTTCTGATGACGGCAATCAACTGAGGCTACAATCAGTGGAGAGACTGTCTGTCTGATTCTTCCGGTCCCAGTTTGATTGTAGATTGGTGCATTTTTTTGATTTAAGACAGCAAAACCGGCCATTTACTGCGGATGTTTTGGATAGCTTAAACATTTCCTGCCATCAAACCATAATAACATGCGATGGCTCTTTGTTTACGTGCTCCCAGACAGAGCTAAATTACTTTGACAAAGACAGCTTAGCACGAGTATCTCCCTCATTTAAAATACCAGTGAAACCACTGGAGGTTAGCGTGTGGTCATCCTCTTTTCAAACGTCGTCGCCACAACCAGAGCTTAATTCTCGGTGTGCGTGCACCGGACGATTCGTGCTGAAGAGGCAGATTAAACCAAAGTGCCATAGTGGGTTTTTTTGGGGTGTTTACTTAACATTAGTATCAGAATTGGTACATGATCTAGGACATCTGACACCCTGTTGACTGAGCACAGATTGAATATTTTGACTCGATGGACACAAACGTTCCTCTCGCCCCCTCTTCAGTTTCTGTGTCCTTTCACGGCAATTTGATTAAAATGACCACCGGCCGACCCTGACTGTGCGCTATGCTCAGGTTAGACCCGTGAATATGAGATGAAAGGGGAACCAGTCTCCTTCTGTCGACCCTGCTGGAGCTGGTCACTTGAAGGTTAGAGTCGGCCTGTGATGTTGAAGTGTCAGCAGTTTGGTGTCTTGGTACATTCGGTGTCTCCGTGTGGTATTCAGTGAATCTGGGCTGGTCAATAGCAACGCATTCCCAACGTCAAACACTGCTCGCCTATGTCAAACCTATCTTGGGTGTGACGGGAAACACCTACCAAACACATGAAACACATTTTTATTGTTTTAATTTGTGAATAAGCTTTGAAACCTGTTTTGAGGAAGATTTAATAGGCTGACAGAGCGTAGCTGGTGATTTGGGTGTGTTATACTGTTAGTGGCTAACCTCAAGCTGAGATAAGGAGCTGGTAACATAAGTCTGATAAGCTAACTTCACAAAACTTCAGCAAACTTCCTTTTTTCAAAAGTCCGACTCGGACTCAAGTGACATCACTTTATCCGACTTTGTGCTATGAAAGGTTTTATACAACTTCTTTCTTTCACATATGCTGTGCTCTCCCAAGAGCTGTAAACAGAGTAGATGTGTGAAATTGTTGCATTTGTCCCCTTTAAGTTCAACATTGTGTTAAGTTGAGTTGTACTGTGAGCTGAACTTGTGAAGGCTTTAGCACCGCAGTCATAACTTTGGTTCCATGGAAGCTTCTGGTTTCCAGTGCCAGTATGATGCCTGAGTATAACTACCTATAACTGATAAAACCTGCGCACTCATAATGCTTTTATTGCTTATGAGTGTAACTTTTAATTTAGG